GAAGAGAAAGTCGCAAAAAGCGTGGCCCTGCGCGTGAATCGGCATTTTCGGAGATGAGAAAGTCGCAAAAAGCGTGGCCCTATGCGCGAATCGGCGTCTCCGGAGATGCGAAAGCTAGCCTGTCCGCGGCGTCTGGTCGGAGCGGGCTCGGAGCGGGCTCGGAGCGGTCTCGGAGCGGTCTCGGATCACGTTCGGCGCCGGGACCATTGGCACGGCAACACAGAGGTTTCGCAGGGTTTGAATTGCGTGGCAGGCGCAGCATTTTGGCAAGGTCGGGCGCAGATTTCGTGGCAGGCGCAGCACTTTGGCAAGGTCAAGTGAATTGCGTGGCAGGTGCAACACCTTCACAAGGTCAAGTGCAGATTTCGTGGCAGGCGCAGCACTTTCGCAAGGTCAAGTGCAGATTTCGTGGCAGGTGCAGCACTTTCGCAAGGTCAAGTGCCAAATTCGTGGCAGGCGCATCACTTTCGCAAGGTCAAGTACAGATTTCGTGGCAGGCGCAGCACTTTCGCAAGGTCAAGTACAGATTTCGTGGCAGGCGCAGCACTTTTGCAAGGTCAACTTTCGCTGGATGCATCTTTGTCGGAATATCATAGGGTTGGTTTGTTGCCTCACCCCAAAAGCTTTTGCGACAAACGTCAAGGATAATTTTGGGGCAGTTTGATGGATCCAGTGGCACTATTCAAGCAAGTGATTCCGGTGATTGCAGTCACACAGCGTATCATTTCTATGGGTGTTTGCGCAGTCAGCCTCCTTGAAATGATTGTTGGATCCTGGACAGCCATTTGCCTGTTTCGAAGACGCCTTCTGTGCCTGTTCGACTCTTCATGGGGATGCTCGCCGTTCAGATGTGCTGCGCCTCTCGGTGGAGTTGAAAGAAGAGCTCATGTTGTTGCTAGCCCTGGCCCCGCTCGCTGTGAGTCTGTTGCGCTTGCCAAACTGCAAACAGATTTACTGTTCGGATGCTTCGGATTGGGGTATTGGCGTCACAAGAGCTGATCTTCCCACGCCCTTTGACAAGGAGATCCACAGGCACAAGCTTCGGAAGTCGGTGCGGGCAAAGCTTTGGCACGTCGAAAAGGTGTGCTTCCTGAGGAAGATGAATTGCCAGACGGCCAGATGTTGGCCAGCCACCCACTTTGGATGGAGTTTGCCAGTGCTCTGCCTTATGCTGAGGTTCTTCGGCAGCGGTGTCGTGACGGAGTCCACATTAACATCCTGGAATTGCGTGGCATGCTAAAAGTCGAATCGGAAATTGCACATCAACAGTTTCCAACGCGGTTCTTCTCCCTGGCAGACTCACAAGTTTGTTGCTGCTTGCCTTTCTACACACCTTCTGTCGCTTGGGCATCTTTGAAACGTTTCTTCAACTGGGTTCAACTATTACTTTGTGATTGACTGGCAGCTCCTCCTATTTTTGAGCTGCTTACGTTGTCAATCGTGGAGTGGTCGTTGGAAGTCGAAGCTTGGTGATTCAGAGATTGCGAAGATCTTGGTGTTACGGCCAAAGCAGCCCACGTTCAGTGCAGAGAACATCTACAGCTTGGCTGGCAAAGAGGGAAAATGCAGAGTGAACGTCAAACATGATGATAAAGATGATGACTGTGATGATAACTATCCTTGTAGCATCCTTTGCATTACCAATGCTGAGCTCATGAGAGATGATGATGATCGTGAGGACAATGATAATAAGGGTGAAGACTATGAAAATGAGTATCATAGCAGCATCCTCTGCATTACCAACGCTGTCTAACGCCGCATTTGAAATGTATATAAAAAGCCAGCATAAGAAATAAGAAAAAGAGAATGATGACCATGAGGATGATGATAAGGATGATGACTTTGATGATAACTATCATCGTAGCATCCTTTGCATTACCAATGCTGAGCTCATGAGAGATGATGATGATCGTGAGGACAATGATGACAAGGATGAAGACTGTGAAGATAACTTTCATCGTAGCATCCTCTGCGCTACCAATGGTGCCTAACGCCGCAATTGAAATGTATACAGTAGGAAATAAGACAGAGATGATGATGACTACCATTATGATGAGCAAACCATGAGGATGGTGAAACACCAAGCTCTGATCCTCCGAGATGTGTAGCCACCCTTCCCGTGCGCCTCACCCTGAAGACAAGGGGTCGGCGGATTTTCACAATGAAGTAGCATAATCTAGATAATTAGGATAATGATGAAAATAGTTCTTTCCAAAAAAGGACCTCGGTCGACTTCCTACCTGGTCGACGAGAATGATGATGAACATGATGAGGATGAGAATGAAGATGAGAATGATGAGGAGGATGATGAGGAGGATGATGAGAACCAGGAAGAACATGATGGTGTGAATGATGATGGTCCGAATAAGGAGGAGAATGATGAGGAGAAGTATGAGGATCATGATGGGGAGAGTGATGATTTGAACGATGATGAGCATGATGATGAAAATGATCACGAGGTTGACGATGGAAATGACCATGAAAAATTGATGATGATGATAAGCGATAAAAAATGCGGGTGAACATGATGATGAAAAATGACGAGAATGATGATGGGTCGGATTTCCTACCTGGTTGAGCCTTCAAGGCTGAGGCCATGCGTCTCTGAGGCCTTTTGGAAAGCATGTAATTATCATAATTGGCTTTGACAATTAGGATAATTTTGTAAAATCGTAATAATTGTATCTAATCAGAATAGTTATGTACAATGGAGTGCTCGAATTTCTGAAATATCCTCATTACCTTAACCCCCCTAAATACTTAGGATAATGAAGTTAAAAATCGGTGCCCGAACTGGCTAATTCAGGATAGCTAGGATAACTATAAAGTCGAGTGCTCGAATTTCCTAATTATCATGACTATCGTAGTTGACCAGGATGAGTAGGAAGTTCCTGCTTATTTACCATAATTTCTAAGAAATTGGATAGTTGAGTGTACCTAGTTATCCTAACAAGGGTGCTGGCCACATAGGGCAGCAACTACGCTCATACGGGGGATGGGGCGGGGCATTTCACTTCGGCTTTTGGTTACGCATGATCTCACACTTGCCGCAGCTGTGGTTCTGTACTCCGGTAGTGAACTTAGCCCTAGTTTATGTTCATTTTTCAAGGATATGCCACGCTCCTGGCCGGTGGCTTAGCTTTCCTCCAGCCGCTGTAGGACACGCTGGATGCTTATTTGTCTGCTGAGCTCGATCTGGAAGATGCAGCGCACAGATTCCTGGCCGGAACGACACTATCTGAGCTTCATTCCTGGTCTCAGCGGTGACTAGTCACAAAGTCTTGCTTCAATTTGAATAACAGCTTGGGAGAAGCGACATGCTCGGGCGCAGGGGAGCTATGCTGTTTGCTGTATGTACACATCGGCCCGTCGGTTGCAGCGAAGCATTCCGAAGGGGTTGCCGTCAGAACCCGCTGGGCTTGTCGAAGAAGATAACGCCATCGCCGAGAGTGCCCCTTTCCCCCCACAGACGCGCAACTTTTCTCCCTGCCATCCCCTTTCTAGGTAACATGTGAAACCCCACTGGCAGGGAGTGTTCGATTTAGCATGCTCTTGCGGAACGCACGAGTCCTGCACATCCGTGTTACCATGTTTACGGTGTATCAGTCGCACTGCAGGGTTCTGCCCAAGGAGTTTGCGAACCGCGGGGCTTGTGTGCCGCGCTACCCCCACTCGTTGCCAGCAAGTGGCGCAACTATGGACGGGACGTCCGGACACACTGCTGTCTCATCAGAATGTCACACCATATGGAGCACACCGCTTCGCAGAACTTCAAGCCGGAGCCATGCTGCTACGGGGGAGGTGGCCCTGCGGGCTGAGGAGGATGCCTCCCTGGACGCGCTTCCTGCGCAACGTCCGAGCAAGGTCCTGCGCCTTTCTAAGGTTGCAAGGTGAGAGCATTGGACAACTCTCGGGCCTTAGACAAGCAGTGTCTCAGATGATGCTTCATCCGTTGATGAGAACGACATCCTGGCGGCGAGGAGCTGGGGCGGAAACTGCCGCTGGAGGTGGAACAGCAATGGGAGAAGACTGCGTCAGCTTTCTCTTTGCACCTTTTTTCAGCCCCTGGCTAGTCTCGACTGCAGTGTTGCCTTTCACAGAGCAGCAGGGACATGGACCTGTTATCGTACAGCTTCAAGTCTGGGCAGAGCGAAGGAACAGTTTTCGCCCATCGCCCTGCACGAATGACTGGTGCTTCCCGGCGGTGCAGATCGCCTCGACCCCTGCCTCGATTAAGGCGTGTGAGCCAAGGTACTTGCTTGCCAACTCAACCCATATTAGTGTAAATGTTAATGCTTGGTCTGGTTGCCCCTAAGGGCTGACTTCACGTTTCATGACCCTCTACCCACAGACTTTGATTTGGCCTCCAAGTGTCCCCGCCCATTTCCCACGCAGCAGGAAATAATTCACCTTGCTCGTGTGTTCCAGCGCGTGGGCACGATGGCTCAACGCGTGAGCGCGATGGCTCCGGCAACACGCGCAGACACGGACGCCTTGACGTGATCATTCGTGAATGACAATTCGCCCGGGGTACTCAGCGATGAGAACGGGTCAAACACCTCCAAGGAACAACCGTCAGATCCGTTGCTTGCAGTGTTAAAACGTGGCCCATTCGGAGTGGGCGCGGCCTGTTAGTTCCGTTTGCGAGCGTGATTCAGCGAAACGCATCGCACCTCGTAGGCCAAAACTCCAGAATGTAAAGGGGAATTACAAAGGGTTAAAGGTACGGATTCCTTAACTGTTGCGCGAGGAAAAATGAGCAACCCTGCGACATGCGCCTGATGGTTTTGTGGTTGAGGTTGGTTCACGCGTTGGCATTTACCGAAGCTCTTTCTCATTGAGGATGACACGGTCAAAAGTGGTTTTACAGCCTTCAAGGCAATGTGCACCTTTCCCCAGAGAATACGAGACAGCTTGGGCCCCCCAAAATATTTTGACACATATGCATGTTGAACGCTGTTCCTTGAAAAACAAGGTGAATGTTCATTTCCGGAGCAGAGGACCTCCAGCGCATCATCGACGCCCCGGGCTGGCGGGCGGTGCAGGCCTGCTTCTTCCACCTGCTCTATGTGGAGCTCCTAGGCTGGGCAGACCCGTCCGGCGTTTTTGGGGTGAGAACAAAGCCCAACAATAGCTGAGGCCGCCCTTTTGACTTGTTGAGTTTTCTTTGGTCTGGTTGGTTTGTGTGTGGGTGTTTGCTTGCTTGGTTGGTTGGTTGGTTGGTTGGTTGAGCCAAACTGGCACAGGTTTATGTCAGTGCCAGCGCAGTGGCGTTGGGGCAGCAGTTCTCCGATGCCGCTGTTGTGACCTGGTATCTATGTGGCCGTGTACACAGATCTGCCGACGTCGCGCGCGCGCGCCGGCGCGTGTCGTCAGCGTGGCTGGTGAGCCGTGGTCCTGGATCGGTGCATGGTCTTGCTGCGCGCTTGGCTGGGGGGGCCTCGTGGCGGGCCCTGCGATGGCGGGTCGTGGCATTGGCGTGGAGCTGCAAAACTGGGCAAGCCGAGCAGCGCGCTTGGCGTCCATTCCTCGCCTTTGCCTGGACGTGGAATCCATCGCAGGCCGGGCCAGGCATCTTCGCTTACCACATACCCCAGCCACGAACTCCGGGTTGGCTGTCATTTTGACTGCTTTGAAGTGCTGCGGGCAGTCATCCATGCCTCAGAAGTTAGAGCTCCGCTGGCACCGGCCTGAAGAGAGGCGTCTCTGCAGGTTGTCCCCAACATGAGCGTTGAGTCAGGCAGGCTTTGGATTTGGGTCTGGGATAGGTTTGTGTCCCACCCACGCGCCGGGTGTCAATACCGACGTTCGGCTTGAAGGCTCCGCTTTTGCAAGGTCATCTTGCAGGGCGCAGGGATGGCCGGCCTGCAGGGAGGAGTTTGTGTAGGTGACTTCCAAGGTGAGTTAAGCCGTCGGATCAGTTCGAGGTGAGGCCGCTCTCCTTATGGGGCTGAGGAGGCTCAGACAAGCTCTAGGCGGTCCAGTTTACAGGGCGCTGCCTTGGTGTGACTTTACAACAAACGCAAGCGTAACGTTATATATATATAAACATGTGTACACTCAGTATCTATATGGCACCAGAATCACTGGAAGAGCTTACCCTTTAATTTTTGGTAAAGTTCGCGACTGGTCGGTATTCTCCTTGAAGCCTTACGCCCGACTTGGACACATCGCGATCTCACTTGGGTGGTAAACTGGCCGCCCCCGGCCTAAAATGTTGCCATGTGTGGCCCGTTAGAAGCGTTTTTTTTGGGTCCCTCCTAGATGGAGGCTCAACAAACCTCATGTGGAGGGTTTGATTGTTTTGACGAGGCACTCTGGACCGAGATCGAGCCGCCAAAATCAGGGCGGACATGGCCCGAGCCCAAGCAGCAGGGTTCCCCTCCAAACTCTCAACCCTCAAACGCACTTAGATTCCAAAGCTTGGCAAGAAAAAACAATTTGAAAGCAAACGTGAGAATTTTCATATCGAAGTAACTAAGTTCACGGAATCCAACAATAAGCTTGGCAGACTTCCCTTGGCACTTGAGCCGTCAACTTACTAAACCGGAGGTCCACGAAACAGGGCCCAAAGATTTCCAACAAACAAAATCCCTTCCAGAGGCGGTTTTCCTGACATGGCCCCCCAAACCTGAGAGTGAGGGAGGCCCGGGTCCCTGGTGGAGCTCAAAGCAAACTCCGCTTCCATTTCATGACGGTTTCAAAGCAACCTCAGCTGTTTGTGGTCCATTTGGTGTTTGCAACATGGTGGGGTGGGACTCCTTGAATTTCCAGAAAACAAGCACCGGGGAACACACCCACGCTCACCGCATATTTTGTGGCTTCATTTGGTTTGAGGGTGGCACGCTCTTGTGAGCCCTGCTTGCAGATCCAATATTCCAAGCGAAGGCTCTTGTGCAGAAAGCCCTACAAAGGCCTTGCTGAGCCAACACCTACTCTGCAGGCCGCAAAGACGTAGGATTTTTCCAGTTCCGCTTGTGTGCTTGTGTGGGAAGGCGCCCATTCCGTTTTTAGCAGCAGTCTGAAACGAAGCCTTCTTATGAGAAAGGTTTTGGCAACCTTTTGTTTTTTCATTCACTTCCCCCCAAGGCGGACGGATTTTTGCATTGCGGCAACAGGGCAACACAAGCTCGGGCTCTATGTTGAAGGTTGCTCACCTGCGGACGGCGGGATGCCATTTTAGTGTCTAGAAAGAAGCAGCAACTTGGCACTAGTTTGGCTTTTGCCGGTGTGGCATGTTTGATTCTTGGCGCTGAGAAGATTCGAGGCGCCGGACACCGGGGCCTCGGAGCACCCAAAGAAGCCTCCCTCCACCAAGCAGCTACTGCAGCTGCTTGCGGCAAAAAGGCGATGGCTTGCTCAAGCTTTTGGGTTTCATCAGGGCTCAAACGGGATATGCAAGCCCACCGCCCCGGGAGAGGTGTTGTCCCCAGAAAGCTGACGGGAAGATGTGGGAAGATAAAAATCAGTCCTTGTTGGAAAGATGGTCATTGATGGCCCCCAAAAGAATCCCATGGATAACTTTAGCTGGGCAAGTCAAGTTTCCAGCCGATGAGGATCTCCAAGAAAGGCGTTTTTTGATGGAGCCAAGGAGCCAAGGAGCCAAGAAGCCAAGGACAAGGAACCAAACGCGTTTTGTCTCAGGCTACTGTTCTTCATCGCCGTGCCCTTTTTCGGTTTTGGCTTTGCAGACAACGCGCGCGGGCCCCAGAAGCTGCTGGGAGCGGAGTCGCCAGGTTCATCTCCGAATGGCATTTGGAGTCCATCCAAAAGAAATCTTTAATAAGATCTATCAATGGCACCCTGAGGAGACATTCATACATGTGTGTGTTTTTCCAGTGTGTTTGTTCGACGGGCAAAGTCTTGGCATTCTACCGCTTGTTGAGTTCCTTCGTTGCCATGGCCGAAAGCACTTCGCAGTCGAGTAGACTAGTCGTCGTTCTGCTCATCCGCAAGCCCATTCGCATAAGGCACACGCAGCCTTCCCTGTGCTTGAGGGCACAACTCCCTGCAGTTTCTGGATAGACATATTTTAGTGGTAAGAGAAAGTTCAGACTTTTTCTGGACAGTGCAGTTTCAAGTTGGCACAGACGCGTTTTTTCGCGGGGCGCTGGTCCTTGAGCTTGCCTCCTAGAGCCCTTGTTGAGCCACATGTCAAACACAGAAACCCTTTTTCCAGCCTGGCACCACTTAGTGCAACCTTTGAGGTCCAAGAAGGGGCCCATTTCTTTGACAACGCAGACATCTCGTGGCTGACTCTCGCTCCCAGTTTGTATGCATTCACCTATTGGTTCAGGCACAACAGCTCGAGCCGCTCGCCGCTCTTGCTAGGATCATGATCGTTTGCGGAGACTTCATCGATGCCCAGTTCGGCGTGATGTTTGGGCTCACCACCATGGCATCTGCAGGCTGAATGCGGGAATGCAGGCTAAATGCGGGAATGACCTGTCTAGTTCCAGTTACCAAACACATATCCGGGGCTTGGCACCTCTGGGTGTCCGGATTACTTCCGGGGCTGGGGGGCGTCTTGAACTGGAGACTGGCAGAAGGGCATTGAAAGGTCTGACCCAATCCACGTCCACTTACTTGAGGGTTCAACATGCTGCCCCACGCGCTGAAGGGAACAACACCCCTTTTCGAAGCTCAATCCATCCATGCCGGATGATTGGATGGGATGGGACGGGATGGTCTTTCCTTCCACTCTGAAAATGAAACGGAACGACGGAACGGCGGAACCCAACCGAATAAACCGAATATCATTCCGAATGCACAAAACGTTTCCCGAATGCACCGAATGCACAGGCCTGGGGAACTGGGTCAGCGACACCATCGGCCTGGGCCTGGGCGACGTCATTGAGCGCTCCGCTCAGCGGGTGGGCCTCTCCAACGGCGGCCTCTCCCCGGCCCAGGCGTCTAGTCAAAGGCGTTTGTGTTCCAACACCCCGCAGTTTTATAGCGCGCGTTTGGTTTTGCTTCTGAAGATAGCTAGTTGCCGCAACAGCGGTTGGTTTGCATGTGGTTTCTGGTTTCCGTTTCCACACCCAAAGGGTATATTTAGAGCAGACGTGATTGGCTATGTGCACTCAGATCTTGTTTTCTGCCAACGCTGCGCGTCTTCTGGCTTCCCTTTGAGTCCAAGACGGAACATCCAAAAGCGGTTGACAAAACGATGACACATAGCAACTTGACGCATGACAACTTGACACATGAAAGGGTCACCCTGGCACACAAGTCGCCGGATTCCCGCTTTTGGGGCAAATACGGGTTCATGGCCATTGAATGGTGTTCCCCTAAACGGGGAAAGATTTGGAAGTTTGAAGCAGCCAGGAACTGGGACCCTTTTCCTTTGAGGCTACCACTTGGGTGACACCATCAGAATAACAACTCCATGAGGCCAGAGCAGTTGTGCTCATGTGTTTTGGGGTCGGCCTTCCTTGAAAGATTGCCCTCAAAAGATAGCCAGGAACCCTTTGAAAGCTCTTTTTGGACAAGATTCAAAATGGGGCAGACATTTTGTGGGGAACAACACGAGGAGCGGATGCAGATCGCCAAGCTGACCACGCTCGGGGGCAAGCTGATCGGCATCTCCCTGGGCTGCTTCGCAGGACGCGGGGTCCTTCGAGTGAGTTCCACGGCGGTCTTTTCGAAACACATTCCAGGCCTTGCCGTTCGCCCCGTTCAAGGGAGTGTCCTTGTTTTATGGGGTCATTGTTGGAAAACATTTTCACGGGAATCAGCCTGATCAATATCCTAGGCTTCTTCATTAAGAATCATCATTGCGTCTGATCGGAGAGGTTCGGGATTCAACCTTTCTGGGAGTTTGAACGATCACTCAACACCCGTGGACAAGCAAAGTGGCCCCAAGACTTGAATATGGGTTTGTCTTTCTTGCCCCTCCAATTTGGCTTGGTTGGTCACAAGGGTGCCCTTTTGCGGCCACGCGTTAAGTGAAACCACCTTGTGCGAAGGGAATACTGCAACCAAGCGGCCACACGGGGCCCTTATTTCTTCCGCGCCTTTTACATCTTCTTCAACTCAACAGTTGAGTTTCTGTCTGAAAATGTTTTGGACCTCCAGTCAGGATAGGTGTTTCGATAGTCCAGCATCTTCCGTGGGGCAAAGCCAAAGTCAAAACGCGGTTTCGCTGAACAAATGTAACGTCCCAATTTGAGGAATGCTGCCCTTGCTCTTCCTGAAGCCGGTGAAGGTGGAGATTGCCAAGGAAGACCTGGAGGCCGGGCGGCGCCGGAGGGGAGAGGGAGAGGGGGTCAAGCGCTTAGATGCTTTTTGGACTAACTTTTGCCGGAAGAATGTATTCCCCCTTGTAAGTCCCTTGACAAGGGCCTGGGTCCAATCTTAGATAGTTGGCGCAGCAGATGGTCCGGGACATGTTGGCGACCTCATTTGGGAACAGGTTTACATCTTTACAGAACTGGCTTGGGTTTGCGACTAAGTTGGGGCCACATGGATGAAGGCATTTTCCTCGCAGGGTTTCCGGGTTGTTGTTTTGAACGGGGTGGGTGAAATATCATAATCCGCCTGGGAAAGGGGATGCAACTTACGATCGGAAAAGGGACGGTTTCAAAAGAGCTATGATAGCTTCGATCACGCTTCTTTTCCACTTCGCGCTCTCCGTCTCTTTCGCTATCTCTCTCTCTCTGCCTGACTCTCTCTCTCTCTCTCTCTCTTTGCCCCTTCCTCTGTCGCCCTTCTTCTCTCCCTCTTCCTCTCCCTCTTCCTTTTTCTTTTCCTGCTTCTCCTTCCTTTTTTAGTTTCTCTTCCTCCTTCTCCTTCCTCTTTCTTCTTTCTCTTTCTCTTTTCTCTTTCTCTTCTCTCTTTCTCTTGTCCTTTTCTGTTTTTCTCCTTCTCTCTCTCTCTCGCTCTCTCCCTCTGCCCCTTCCTCTCACTCTTTCCTCTCGTTCTCTTTCTATTAATCTTGTTCTTGCTGATTCTCTTTTTGCTTCTCTCTTCTTCCTTCTCTTTTCATCTTTCTCTTTTCTCTGCCTCTTCCTCTCTCTTTTTCTCTTTTCTTCTTTGTTTTGCGATGGCGGTCAAGCTTCTTAGTTCAAAAGTATGCCGAAGCAATTCGGGCTGCGGGCGCGCTTTTTTTGGCGCTGCCTGTCTCAGCCCATCTCTGCGCTTGCGCGTGCCGTCGTGGCTGGAAAGCAGAGCCGCGAAGCTGCAAACACGAAGTTTGCACGCGGCCTGAAGCAGCGCGCCGCACCTGCATTGTCACGGCCTGAAGCAGCACGGCAGCTCGCTCATGCTCTGAAGCTGGTCGGTGCAAATGCCTCTCTCACTCTAGCACACTTGCTTGCCAAGCGACCAAGCGTTTGGCTGCGTCTGTGGTAGTACCATCAAGGTCTAGCTGCCACAGTCTTCCTTCCGGGAAAGGCTGGATAAGCGCTTCTTCTGCTTCAACATGAAGGATAGCTTGCCAACAGGAGGCTCTGATTTGCGAGTTACTTAGGCCGTATGAGCTAAGCAGATTTTTGGTGTCGCGAGGACAAGATAACTCAGAGCGTGAGAGTTCACGAGTTTTCACGACTTTTTCACGGAGTAGTAACGGCCTTTCAGTTCCCGCGCAAGTTTTCACGGCTTTACGGGGGCCAACAAGCGCAAGTGGCCGAAGACATCTTAGCTCAAAAAGCCAGGGTAACTTGGGTCTTGGAGCCTCCTGGCAATGCTGAACGCGCGCGTTTGCGCAAGCTGAAAAACGCAAACAAATGAGGTTTCCCAGGTCGACCCGAGGAAGGTCTGCAGACGGGTCACCTTTTGATGCTTTGAAAGCTGCAAAACGCAAACATACAGCAGCACGAGTGTTTTGAGGTGGACTCTTTTCATGGTTGCGCAAGCTACGGAAGTCTGTAGAAGGTCACGCGAGCAAAGTCAAAATCACGGAAACAACAAGTTTTGGAGGGTCGACCCGCCCAAAGTGCGCAGAGGGCAAGCAGAACGTGCGGCCGTGCCAACGGGCCCGTCTCCGAGACCGCTCCGAGTCCGCTCTGAGACCGTTGCGGCAGGGGTGGTTTGCGAACATGCCGGAATGCTGAATTCACGCACAGGGCCACAGTTTGCGCTTACTTCTTTTCCACATCACAGGAACATAGCTCAATTAGCTTTAGTACTACGGAAGTTCCTTCTACACTTTGGTTAGCCAGATATGTAGTCGGGGTTTCGGCGATCACGAGATGGGAGCCGCGCTAATCTATTTTCCACAGCATGGAGGTCCTCAATGTCAGAGGCTGATGGACCCATTTGTGAAACCTGTCCAATCCTTGGACAGCGATTGCACCGCTCATGGCTTCAAAGCGCAGCGCAGCATGAAGCCCCGGAATGATCCAAACCAAGGAAGTGTAGGGAGGAACCTCCTGAACCATTCAAATCAAAGAGGGGTACTGCTCCATCGCCAGAGCCATGCAGACCAAAGAGGAGTAGGAATGGATCCCCCGAAATCCAAATCAAAGATGTAATCGAAGACGTGTCAGGGACGAGTCTCCCAAGCCACAGGGTACGGATGGATTCCCCAAACCATCCAAAACCAAAACGAGTCAGGGATGAAGCAACCAAGGAGCGCAGGGATCCCCCGAACCATCCAAATTGAAGGTGCGTCAGGGATGCAAGCCACCCAAACCAATGAGAGTAGGGATGGATGCCATCCAAACCAATGAGGGTATGGATAGATTTTGCAAACCATCCAAATCGAAGATGTGTCAGGGGTGACCCTCTCCCAAGCCAAATTATTGCGAGATAGGGATGATCCCGCGAATGCTGCCCAAATCGAGGATGTCAGGGATGAATCTCCCAAACAATCCAAACCAAGGAGGGATGGGAATGAATCCCGCAAACGCTGTCCAAACCGCCTTCTTCAGCCCTCTGCATGTTGTTCCGTCCGCTGTGCGTGCAGGTCTATGAGTCCACCTTCCTGCCCAGTGGTGTGTCAACTGCTGCGTGCGCCGGCATTGTTGCGATCTCTCTTTAAGGGCCATCATCAACTCCAAGGACCCCTGGAACCCTTGCACAGAGCCGCTCTGAACCACTCCTGAGCCTATCTGTATAAATTTGTCGATTTTTTGGTGACCTAGTCACGAGCGGTCGCTTTAGCTAGCTGTATAGCTTCTACCTGCATAAGCAAGCGCGTCGGCTGAATCTCGAATCAATAATTAGGCCGGGCAAGCTGGTCGAATCAGTAACTTCGCCAAGCCCCTCAAGTTGCAGCTTCGTTTCCCCCCTGGGCCGCGCCCCAAACCTAGGCTTTCACGCAGGTGGCGTAGACCCGGTGACACCCCATGCCAACTACAGCTACAAGACCTGAAGCCCGCGTCGTGGTGAGGACGCTCTTCACAGCGGCCTTCTTTTGGATCACACACAAGCAAGCGCATGAAGTGCATTTTTATCCAACTGCGCAGGGCCAAAACCGAAGTCCTGCCCCTTTAGGTTTTCGGCTCGCTTCGGCCCCAAGCAGCCCTTAACTGCTTCAACCTTGCTTCTGCAGCTTGCTGGCTTGTGTCCACCCCATCGTGCTGAAGTATATCTGTCAAAACCAAAGACGCCTTCCAAATTGGTTTGTTTTCATCCTGATTCCCTGCAAGCAAAACAAGTTGATACAGTTATATGGGCTGCGGCAACATTTCCAGCGCAGTTGATGTTGGGCGCCGGACAAGGGGGCAGAAGCGTGCGTTGTCCGTTGTGCACATGTCGGGTTTGCGGAACGGATTCTTCGCGCCACCCCCCAATGCCCACCTTGTGTTAGCCACCCGCAGATTTCAAATTTTCGTTCGAGGGGCAGTCCAGGGCTGCGTCGGATAAGGACATAGGTCGGGCAGACATCGGCCTACCCCTTTGTAACGAAGAAGGTAGTGGGCTGGTTCCGGGGCCTTGGTTGGTTGGTTGGTACAAGCTAACCAGCGTAAGACAACCCATACTCCAATCCCAAAAAATTCAGCTGTCGGGGTTGCCACGGCCAGCCGTTGCGCATGTTGCTTGCGCCTGTGCTGGGGCCTGGTGCGGCGCAGACCCAGGGTGCCAAGCAGAGCGCCCGCCCGTTGTATTTCACGCGAGCACGTGTGGCCCAACGCCGGCTGCATGCGGTGGAGGCGGCGTGTTCCGCTCTCCTTCCAGGCTTTAATCTGTTTGGTGCATGTTGCGTTGAACGCTTGCCCAACCCTGGCAGTATGCGCAGGCTTTGCGTGCCAGGCGATGCGCGCGGGGTGGCCCAAGGCTCACTTGAATATCCATCCCCGACGCAAGACAGCGCGGCCCCCGTTCTCGCGGGGTTGCCCGCTACCACGACGTCTGAAATAACATATGGGACTTATGTGTAGGTTCGTCTGTGACGTATGTTATAACTCTGAGAACTTCGGCAAGTTCACCGTAAGCCCATGTGAACTTACAAGTTACCCGGGGTGTACTTATAAAACTTCCGGCTTCAGTTTTCTTAAAGGACACGGGGGCGGAAAGACAAGGCTGCCGGCTGTCTCGCCGCCGTGAAAATCATGTTTGTTGCAATTGCACTGGGAGTGCGCTTTCCGCCTTTTGCTCATAATGTCCGGGGTGGGCGACCTTCTTGTGTTCCAACATGGCCTTGTTCGAAGCAGACTGTCCCCTCGTCAATGATGTTAAAACCTGCACAGTCGCGCGCTTTCAGCCATCGTAGCCCTCTGCACTCTTCGACCATGTGTCAGCCAAGGTCAAGCTTTCGCCGAAACGCACATCGAGTGTCATTGCCGCAGGGCTTTGCTGCGGTCGGCGGCCTGCCCGCGTGTGGCGGGGAGGTTGCAGGCAGAGTTGGTGGAGCAGATGCCGAGACTGCGCAACGCGCTCGCAGAAAAAGCGTGTACTGAGTGGGCAGAGGAGCGTGATGCAACTTGAGATGCCAGCGCGCGCCGCAGCAAGTGCAAAAGGGGCGTGGAATCTGCTAGGGCAGAGAGGCAAACCGAGCAAAAGGGTCAGCAGGTGAGCGCTGAAGATCTCCAATTACGCCACCGATGCAGAGAAAAAGCTTGCCAGCCGCGGATCACAGTCGCGAGAAAGCGAATGCAAGCCACCGAGCCGGAGAAGCAGACGGAAGGACAAAGCAAAGAGTGAGCGCGCGCAAAGCATGAGCCGAGACTCCCCCCTCCTGCCCACCCAAACCATTGCACTGATGACCCTTCCACAGCGGCAAACCAGCCGCTCCCCAAAAACAAGGCTGATGATGCGCGCAGCGTGGCCTTGGCTTGCTTGCAACCCGTGCCTGGTGGCCTGCCCTCGGCCGTGGCCGATTTGGGTGGCGCAGCTGCAGCTGCTGTCAATCGCGCGTGCCACCTTACGGCAGAGCCGCGGGATCGCGCAGACATCTTGGCCGCTCAGGCGTTTGTGGGCGCGCTGGAGAGCGCCCGCCGAGCTGCTGCGCTCCATCCACACCAAGTTCAGCGATTGTCGGCGTACATTTCGGCGCCCTATACCGCACAACATGTGTTAGGGCCGCGGAACCCCTTGTCGGCGCATGTCTTCGTTTGTCGGCGTGGGTTTCGGGCAATTTACATTCCACCACGGCCGGAATGGCTCGAGATCCTTCGGCCCTTGTTTCTTTCTCACCTTGCGCACAGCCCACGCACCACGGCGGCTGCGGCCCCGGAGGCTTGCTTCTCCTGCGAGATGTTTCCTTGCGAATCTTTAAAGTCATGAAGCTGATCCGCCAACATATTGTTGCTCTGGACCTCACAAAGCGGCGTGGTCCCGTAGCCTGAGGCTTCGGCTCTCCGAATTTAGGTCCACTCCGCGCACCCGTGCGGCTCAGTCTGGCGGCGCGCTGGGCGTGAGATCTTAACACAACCTAGCACGGGTGCTACCTGTACAGTTCCGGCTTGGTGGACCGCACGCGGCCAGGACCTGATGCGCATGCCCTAGAAAAGAGCCGCTAGTCTCTCTTGCGCATTCCCTGTGCGCCGCAAAAAGTTTGAAGCCCGTCCCAAGAATGCGCCACGGAAAAAGTGCTAGCGCGGCTTCCCCCCCGAGTAACTTATAGTGAGTTTAGAAGCTCGTTCGTAACTTCTTTAAGTTCATTTACAGAAGCTTTTTCATAAGTTAGGTTCTCAAAGGAACTTTAACAAGAAACTTCCGTAATACTGGAACTAACTGAGCTACTGCTTTGACACGTAGCCATGGCAGATAGCTTGACACATAGATAGCTTTTCAATTTGGTTAGCGTGAGACGGTTAGCTTTGACAAATAGGTAGCTTGGCAGAAAGATAGCTTTAAGATGCACGGATGTTTGAAAAAGCGCTTGGAACGGTCTCGGAACGGTCCCGGAACGGTCACGGAGACGGGACCACTAGCAAGGCTGCGCGAAGGTTTCACAAGGTTTGAGTTGCGTGGCAGGCGCAACACTTTCGCAAGGTCAAGTGTAGATTTCGTGGCAGGCGCAGCGCTTTCGCAAGGTGCTGGATCCACTCTCTGGGAGCTGGGGGATAGCGAGACGCAGAAACGTTGGCGCTGCGTGTGAAGCTGACTTTCGGACGGAGCGCAAACCACCTTGACGACGCCTGTAGACAAGCGGGCTCGGAACGGTCTCGGAACGGTCTTGGAACGGTCCCGGAGACGGGACCATTGGCACGCGCGAAGGTTTCACAAGGTTTGAGTTGCGTGGCAGGCGCAATACTTTCGCAAGGTCAAGTATAGATTTCGTGGCAGGCGCAGCGCTTTCGCACGGTGCTGGATCCACTCTTCGGAGCTGGGGGATAGCAGGATGCAGAAACGTTGGCGCTGCGCGTGAACTGGACTTCCGGACGGTGCGCAAACCACTTCGGCTGCGACGCCTGTACGGAGGAGGGCTCAGAACGGTCTTGGAACGTCCCGGAACGGTTTCGGAGACGGGGCCATCCAAGCGAGGCTAAAGGACTTCAATTTTGCCCGTGAAAGAGACTCTAAAGTGACACTTGTGTCCGCGGGCGGGCCCAACTTGTGTCGCGATGTCCCGTAGTAAAGCAGTGCAGGGCAGCTGTCCCCTTGGCATGCGCCGGTTTCAAAATGTGATTACACGGCTCAAGACGCATTGGGCGAAAGGTGAGCTGCGTAGCGAGACACATCTAGGTTAGTTTGCTGAAACGCCATGTCTATAGCGTGTGTGGCTGCGTAATCAGTCAATGTGAGTTCACCGTTTGCACGTGTGCGATCTGCCAAGAGGGGTTTTGAGGCTTCTGACCGCGCTGCTTGCGCAGCGAGCGTAGCAGGGGAACTCGCAGGGCCCAAAACGAGAAGGGGGAACCCTAAGTGTTCGAATTTTTCTCGTTGCGCCGGGCTTGCCCTCAATCCTTGTCACAGGGCCATTGCAGGGCCAGCGCCCAAAACACTTGCAGAACGAATCTACTCGGCGTGATACGACGCATCATTGCCTGCGCTTGTGGGAGGGAACAGTGTTGACAACCCTGGACATTCAGTTGATCAGGCTATTGGGCGACGATTCGAAAGGCTAAAAGACGCTAAGCTAGATAGTTTAGAGCCCGAGGCGATAAAGTATGGGTGCGCTCGAGCCGGTAAAAAAGCAAACGTTTGGAATCCAGCAGATTGCGCAGAAAGGTCGCTTTTCGGCGGCGGGGTGTAGAATGGGCGACCCGGGCTTCAAAAAATAGCAGCCGAGGCGCGGCGCAAAAGGCGAGTGTGACAGTTTAAGCCGCAATCAGGGTGCGCAGCTTCTGGCAGCGCGACTTTTCCTTCTGTGTCCATCCGCCTTCGATTTGAAGGAGGGGAAAGCCGCTGGACCCAAGGATCTGCAAATTGCACTGCTCAACTGACAGGTTTCTTCACGAAATTATTCCAGTTTTCATCTGTCATATCATCAGAGTGAAATGCGCTGCAAAAATGATCCGGAACTTGCACCGTAGGACTGCTGCGTTTAGCAGGCTGATGCAAATACCCACGAAGCAAGGTGTCCCAAAGGTACCACGGACTGGCGTTGCGTACACGTGCTTACAGGCACAAGAGGCTGCAACCGCAACAACCGCTAGAGCTCTTCGAACAAAGGCTTTGCTTGCTCAGGGGCCAACATGGCTACACCTGGCTTCAAGGCGTCCACGTCATAATTTCATAGTAGACTGCGCATGCTGCTCCTGTATCATCACAGAAGTACCCATGCTCGATCGTCAAGTGTGAAGGGTTGAAAAGTTCCCGTTGAACTTGTTTCTTCATCTCTGTGAAGGGTTCAAGTCATATTGCGCCTGTGAGATCAGGATCTTGCATCTTGATGCTGCTGCGAGGCCCTGTAACTGCTTCCAGCGTTTTTGGGCAGTCTGCAAAACCAGATCCGACCCGCGTTGCTGAACCACGACAGCTGACACTCAATCTTCCTTGCCTTCTGGCCGATCTGACCGTCGGTTCATGACCAGGTCGAAATTCTCCCTTATTGAACAGTGCTGGTCTGCTTCCCAGCATGCGCGAAGTGGATAGTTGGCAGGCCCTTTTCATCTATGTACTTGATGTCCGCGCACGCGCCTGCCAGGTTTGTTGGGCTGATCCAGCGGGGCCGGCGACGGCGCAAAGATGCTGGGGCGGTGCTGGTCAAAGGCGGAGCACCTTTTCCCAAGGCACAGGGCCGGGGTGGCTTTGGCTGGTTTGGTTTGGTTGTGGGTCGCAAAGTGGCATTGAAATACAGTTTACCTTGCAAACTCCATCTGGTTGTTTTCCAGAACAGGGGGCTGCGCATGTTTTCGCGGCTTTTGGACCTGCGCAACTTGCGTGTTGTTTTTTGTGTTCTAAGGCATTGCGGCGTGTCCAAAAAGCCACAGAAAAAATTTGACCAAACCAAAAACCAAAACCAACAAAAACAAAAGACCCGAAACACAATTCTCAGAAAGTCTTTCTATTGGATCAAGCGCCCACACCAAAAGACAATACAATTCAAGCGGCGCCGGGGAGGCTGGTTGCAGGGTGAGCCGATATCCAGCCACGCCAATAGCCGAGATCCGGCCGCGCTGATATATCCGGCGGCGCCGATATCCTTCTCCAGGTGAGTTCCAGAATTATTGGTGCGCCAATATCCGGCCGCGCCGAAACCCGGCCGCGCATCTTGCCACGCCGATGTCCTGCCGGGACACTGGTGCGCCGATATCCATATCCGACCGCGTCGATATGCGAGGCTTTGGGGGGGATATCCATGCGCGCCGGTACCCAATATCCTGACGGACTCCGGCCGGGGTGGGGGGATATCGAAGTATCGGTGTACCGGCTTCAGCGCGACATGAACAACCGCAACGCCAGCTCAATGTAAATTCAGGTAGACATTGAGCAGCGTGCGCTAAACATATTGACAGAATTTCGTCATAAGGAAAACAGTTTTGTAGCGGCTTTTGTATTAAATTCGCATCTTCGCTGACGGCCGCTCTCCAAAACTCAAATAGAACGTGAGTAGAATTTAAACAGGACTCACGCCAGGGGTCACTTATTCCGAACCCGATTGGATATTCTATCTTGAATTGAGAAGTTACGTAGAATTCCTGGCAAATAGAGAACCTTAGAACTTGATTCGAGCTTACATTGAAATTGGTAAGGAAAGAACCCGATCAGAATTTCCATTTCGAAATAGAATCAAAATAAGAAGTACTAGTCCGTTACAAATTAGACTTTACACACACTTTCCTTTCCAATAGAATGTTTGCACATCTTTAACATTGAAACACAACTTGTTCAAGCAGAGTTCACCTCGAAATGGCATTTCAAACTGGGTCTTCAAGTAGATTGTCCGTTCCAAAAAAAGAAATCCATGGATCAGGCCTGTCGAACACCGAAAACGAACATCACAACAACCAAAGCGCTAAAACTAGAACAAAAACAAAACGTTCTCCCAGAACTCTTGGCATTGTGACAGGTGATTTCAGAGGAGGATTTTGTCCCAGGCCCCCGCAAAAGGATATCGGTGCTAACTTGCACAATGACCAGGTCCGTGTTTGCCCAAAAGTCTGGGAAGGCTTGGAAGCTCTGTTATGTTTCCGCGTTCCGTGACTTGTTCTTCCGCGTTTCCCTTGTCTCACATGAAACTTACGTCGGTCTCGCTCATGTCGGAGAACAGGTGACACTACTATTGTTGCTCTAGGGCGCGGGGGCAGCGGCCAGGCTGAGGCGTTTTTGGGATTGCTGCTGGGCTTGCTTGGCGAGTTGCTGGCCCAGGCCCCCGGAAGTCCCCCCAATTGCGCGCTGAGCCCCGGAATCCCCGTTCTCAGGCATCTGGGCGTGTAGTAAAAACCCCGTGCTTGGGGCAATTGTTGGCCTTCAGGCTCTGTGTTCGAAAATTTAACGCTCGCAGGTTCCAATTTGCACAGGACAGTTCGGGACACAATGCCCCGGAACTCCCCGGAACTTCACCCCGGAACCCCCCGGAACTCCCTGGAACTTCGATTCGCCCCAAAACTAGCGAACCGGCCTCGCGCTGAAATTTGTTTTTCCCACTGGCGCGTTCGTTGCCCCGAATTTTTGGCAGACCGTGGCTCGAAACAAGTTTCTTGCGGCTTCGAGCCCCAGAACTGCAGTTCAGGGGGTTTTCATGCCCCCGGAACCCACGAAGCCCGAAACGGCAAGCCTTCGGAACTCCTAAAATGGTGGCTGCCGCTTCAAAATCATCGCTTGTTTTGTTGTGTAGTTGTTCCGGCCGATGCTGTGAGCTCGTCGGCCAGACATATGTTCCATAGGTACGGGCCACGCGTAAGGTTAAGTCAACGCGCTAGACGACATGCATTACGACAGCGACAGCTGCTTCTGGCGGAAGCGTAAAGCGCCAAGTCTGCGTGCTTAGTGCCGCCGGGTGTAAAGGCGCGCGCCCCAGCCACTCACTGCGCAAATGAGCAGATATCGGCGGCCGGATATCGGCGCCGTTGGCGCCGTTGGATGTTGGCGCGGCCGGATATCGGCGCGCTTCTACCCTTGTATCCGGAGCCCCCCTCCATCTTTGACACGCACTGGATTCCAGGGATATCTTCTCGCACGGATTCGCTGATTTCCATGTTTTTTGTACGCGCATTCTGTGCGACGTTGTCTACATTTCGTGTGAATATGGCACGACGGTTTGTAGGCAGTTTGTGTGCAGTTTTGAAGGAACACATATGCAGCTTCTCTGCCCTTTTCAATGTTGCAAAAATTCTGCATTAAAAAGCGACACACAATCATACACGTATATATCCAACGCCCCCCCGATGGACTGCAGCTGTTTTTTTTGGAATGCCCCACGCGACTTGACCAGCATCAGCTCGCCCTAAGCAAGGAATCCTCTTTTAAGCTTAGTCTGGGATAACAATTCAAATTATGTGTTCTTTGTGCAAAGAAATCCTATCTAACTTATCTTTAAAGTCAGGAACTCAGCTAGAACCATTTGTCGTACTAGGCTCCATTCAGTTCCAAAGAGACGGTGGAGATACAGTTTCCCGGGAAAGGACGTTCTCTGCAGAAAATATTTTGAGTTAAGAGTCCCGACTAACAAAGCTCTCCAAAATGGAAATCCTATTCAAAGCATCTTCAAACCTAGAAAAATATTGCGTATTGTTCACTTTTAATTTCGATTTAAGATCCAAATGGAAAATTGAACAAATCATCTAGGACAAAGACATCCTTACATCAGTTTAGAATTATTTTAAATAAGAATCCAAATCTTTAAAAACAGTCTTTAGGCACATTGTGGGAACTTGACCTTGTGATGCCGAAGTGGGATTCCCTCGACCTCCCCCCAACACCCAACAACGTTCACCACCATGATCAGCATGCTCATGCGCCCGTCCCCGTAGGTCCCGTTGTTCCAAAAGCTCCCCTCATCATCAGAATTATGTTTTCATTAGATTCTATTGACGCCATGCCAAAAGAATCAACCCGCTTGAGCATCTAGTTCCACAAAGGCATGTTGATTGCAAATCTTGTTCGGCAAGGAAATCCCATCTAAATTATCTTTAAACAGGAGAGGGAGAGAGAGAGAGAGAGAGAGAAAAAAAAAAGAGAGAGAGAGAGAGAGAACAAGAGAGAGGGAGAGAGAGAGAAAGAGAGAGAGAGATGGCAACTGCGGCCTAACCCTTGCCTCCCTCCCAGCATCTTAGGGTGACAAAAACCACCCTCCACTTGTATCTTGAAACTAGAAAATCTTACTGGGGTTTGTTCCTTAATAAACTCCATTTGGATTCTAATTAGACAATTGAACAAGCGCAATCCAAGAAAAAGACCACCCTAAAAATGTTCTTTCAATCCTGTTAGGAGACAAGGACTATAAGTGCCTGTATAACTTGCCGAATACTTTGAATTCCAGGCAAGAACAACAAAACACAGGGGCTTATTTGATCAAAACGCATGTTGCCAAAGAAGCGCCTTGAGCAAACATCTACGAGAAATAAGTCCGATTCCTACAAACGTGAGTCAATAAACCAAACACCCTACACCTTAAACCTGTTCGTTCTAAGCTGAGGTTTGGTCAGAAGATGCAAAACAGCAGCTATGTTGGAGTCAATGGCCAAAAAGTGAAAATTGTGCGTGTTGTTTTTTTGAGCCGGAAAATTTTGGAGCTAATAGCTCATAAGGAAAGCGTAAAGTTATGGAGCCAATGGCCCAAAGTAAGAAAGGTAAAACAATTTGGAGGCAATGGCCTACAAGTTAAAAGAATATTTTCTGGAGCCAGAGACACAAAAGTAAAAAAGTAGATAAGTAAAGAATACATGTCTGGAGCCAAAAGTACAAAAATAAAAGAAAGAAAAAGGGCAACAAGAAACAATAGACAAACAAAAAGGAGGTAAAGAAAAGTAAACAAGTAAAATAAAACAGCACAGTAAAAAGTAAGATAAGCTTAGGCATTTTTCACGCTCCGCGCACCGGCCTCGCGTGCCAGCAAAAGTCCCTTACGAAAAGCCGAGCCATGCGCGATGGTGGGTGGGCGGGATGGTGAGTGGATGGATGGATGGACGGATGGATGGATGGCTTGATGGCTGGATGGATGGCTGGTGGATGGAGGGACGGCTGGATGGATGGATGGATGGATGGGATGGGGGACGGATGGATGGATGGACGGATTGCTGGGAGAGTGCGCGCACACACCCACCCGCTCGCCCGCCCGCCCGCCCGCCCGCCCTTTCCCGGGCGCGGCGCACGCACGCACGCACGCACGCACGCACGCACGCGCGCGCACGCACGCACGCACGCACGCACGCACGCGCGCCATCAGGAATGACTTGGGGAAGAATGGCCCCAATTGCAGGCGATGCAAGAGATGCAGCCGATGCGTGAAATACAAGGGCTTCCGTAAGCCTCGGTGATGCTGGCAATGCAGCCGAGTTGCTGCATATTTGCAGTGTTGTGAGCCTTTCGCCAACTCGAGCTCTAATGGCCGCCCGGGCGGTGATGATGCACCAAATGCGCTGGGCATGCAGACGACGCGACGGGTCGGCGGCAGCGACCGTCAGTCGGAAGGCAAAGCCTAGGCATGCGCCCCTTTGGGCGACATTGCGCGGCGCAGCCGGATTTAAGGGCTGCCGCCCTGTGCCGCCGCTCCTGGCTTTAGAACAATTATGACTATGTTTTTTTGGTCGTATTTCGTATTTAGCGGCACACTTAAAGCATACATGAA